GCAAGTATCGGCCGGGCCCCCTACGAGGTTAGGGCCCCCCGCTTGGCGGGCGTTCGCGATACTGTCGCTACGCCACTGCCACCTTGCCAATTTTACATCTTTTTCCCTTTTTTCTTATTACTTTTTTGAATGTTCGATATTATTATTTATTTGACTGTTGTCTTTTTGGTGTAGTATGCTACAAAACAATATCTTTATTGAGGTAAAAATTATCAACGTTATGAAAAATACACTCACAGGCAAAATAATCGATTCACATAAATTTTCGATGAATTTCAATCGCAAATAACTTTTTTATTTGTTTTCGGATTTAAACAAATATTAAAGAATATTGTATATACTTTAATGGAGAATCGCTAAAAATTACTAAAAAATACACGTAAGTTTATAATATACAGATGTTTTTTTACCATAAGTTTAAGACACTCTGTAGAGTGGCAAAACCGTATATTGTTCAAAATTATGTTTTAATTATCAAGTCACATCTATTTTTAACAGTTTTGTTTTTGGTTCACCTTGATATATTTATTTTTGTGAAAAACATGGATTTTTTAAAAAAACATTGCAATTTTCAATATTTTTCAGTATGAAGAACTAAGGTTGCTATGGTCCATCCATAGGCTATGGAGAATGACAGTGACAGTTTTGTTGAATCATCCCATACTTTGATACATACACGGCTTTCAAAAGCTATCAAATTGTTTTTTGTAAATTAATGTGTTAATTTTGAGGTGTCTTCTTACTTTTAAAAATGTCTCCGACTGATGTTGCCCTTTGTACTTTACTTCTTGTGACGTTTATAACACTTGCCACGTAATACTGTGAAAATTCATCCTGGATTAAATTAATGGCTCTGGCAACATCAGTCGGAGACATATCCATTTTTTAAAGTAAGAAGACACCTCAAAATTTAAACATTAATTTGCAAAAAACAATTTGGTAGCTTTTGAAAGCCGTGTATGACATGTCAAAGTATGGGATGATTCAACAAAACTGTCACTGTCATCCTCCATAGCCCATGGATGAACCATAGCAACCTTAGTTCTTCATACAGAAAAATATTGGAAATTGCAATGTTTTTAAAAAAAATCCATATTTTCCACAAAAATAAATATAACGAGGTGAACCAAAAACAAAACTGTTAAGAATAGATGTGACTTGATAAATAAAACTGAATTTAGAACAATATACGGTTTTGCCACTCTACAGAGACTAATGGTAAAAAACATCTTTTTATTTAAACCTGTATATTATAAACGTACGTCTATTTTTTAGTAATTTTTTAAAATGTAAGCGTTTTTCTATTAATTTATCTACAATATTCTTTAATATTCGTTTAAATCCGACATCAAATAAAAAAGTAATTTGCGATTGAAATTCATAGAAAATTTGTGTGGATCGATTATTTTGCCTGTTAGTGTATCATAAATTCAAAGTTGCTGATTTTGTTTACCTGCAATTGCAGGTACTAGGTTTAACTACAAAATAATGTTTGTTCCAAAAATAATTTATTTTGTTTAATTCTATTAGGGAAAATACTAAATCATGTGTTAGGTAACAAAGAGAAAAGTATATTTAATCTGTGGTATATGATTATGTCCATTTCTGTTTATACTTTGCTCATTAAGTAGTCGTGTATATGTACACAGTAAAAAATGATTTTAGTGTTATCCGAGGTAAAAGTTGTAGAGTGAAAAAGTTGGTGTAAAACATAAAACACTATTTTCTATCCTAAGATATTTTTTTTCGTCACTTCACTTAAATATACATTTAACACTAGCCAAGCTCTGGCATCAGGTGGTGTTCAGTTGACTAAAACGGAAACTTGTTTCGTTTATTGTTCTCCCAGAATTTATGTTGGAAAAATGCACCAACTGTTTAGTTGTGGTTTGTAATTATTAACTAAAGGTAAGTCAATTTCAAAGTATTCTTATTCATCATGGTTTATAAGGTCAAAAATCGAGTGAAAATCGCGTTTTGTTTATTGTACAAACAAATTTCAAGCACAGTTCTCACAATAGCTCAGTTTAATGTATATAATAAGTAAAACGTTTTTTTTTATTTTTAGATGTTTTTCCTTAGAGTAAAACATGTCCATGTTGCCCTGTTTAGAAACTTTAAAAATTTAGCTATAAAACAGCAGTGCGATACCAGCAGATGGCATTTTATGATGTCAACTTTAGCACTGAATTGCAAAGTGGACCTTCAGTTAAAGTTTTACTTCAAGATTATCACTGCAAAAATTTCGTATAAATTTCCCCATTCGATAAAAATTTTAGCCACAAAATGGGTAAGAATTGGTTAAATTTATAAAACTACGAGATTTTAAGTAGTGATTGTGGAGATGACTGTAACTACAATGTAATTTGTCTTAAATTTTGTATTTATAAAGAGCCATACAATTTACACCAATCTAACAGTGTCAATTGATACTTTGTGCCAAAATATTATTTTGTGTTTTGAACGTATTTATATTTTAAGTAATTGGCAAAGATTGAATAAATTTCCAGCACTATAAGGAATAGCATTCACACTTAAAGTGAAATAAATGCAAATAAATTAGTGTTAAAGTAAACAGTTTTATAGATCTACCGAACACGGTTAGTGTAGTATTTTTTAATCAAATTTGTATGAAGTCGCACGAACTGTGTTAAATGTCTAATACTATAAGAGTACGATTTACACTATAAGTGTAGTATAAAGTAAAAAAATTATGAAATTAGTGCTATTGACGAGAATTATTAGCGGCTGCTTTCTTGCTATGACAATTAGTTATTTTTGACTAATTCATTTTTAGAGAGTAGCTTTGCAATGCACTTGTTAAAGCGAAAATAATACTATGCCTGAAAATACCTTTGTTCAAAATTGATCTTTGATTGGTTTTGATTTTAGTGTTTTTTTTTATATTTAATGTCCTAATATAAACATTTAATTATGGGCAACCTTTTAATTTTATTCAATTTTTAAAAAGATGTCTTAAAATATAAAGAAAATTGTGGGGACAAAATATTTAAAACTTTTATTTTTATACAAAATACATCACACACCCAAACAATCCTTGAACGGATAGTTGTGACATCATACCAAGCCTACTTCTTTCTTAATATCTCAGGAAAGTTTAGTGCAATTGAAACTTTGTTTTGCCTGTAGATATTGTAGACAAAAATAAATAAACAAGAAAATGCATCAACATGTTTTAAATTGAATTCGCATAAATTTGAGAAACCGAGGAAAACTGGCCCTATAAATACATTGGAAAGACAAAAAAGAGACGTCCCAGAATTAACCAGTCAATGACTTGGCTAGACTTACAAAGAACTGAATACACAATAAGCGAAAACGTTTTAAGAGTAACTTTTTAGGCAAACAAAGCTTGAAAGTCAAGTATAACAAAACTATTTCACAGTACGTGGATTTATTGTTTTTTGAAACCTGGCGAATCAATTAAGAGATTTTAACTTTTTTTGTTTTGTATTTTTTGGCTTCAATGACTGAAAATGACAGGTTAATTTATTTTTAACAAAAGATTAAGGTTTTAAAAATTACAACGGGCTGCTATCAAGTAAAATTAATTAACGAAACGAGACATTTCAAAATACGTTTTTAACTTTGCCGACAAGTTTCATTATATGTTGAATTTTTAGCCCATTATACGCCTCAGGCGACAACAGTATTTTTGAAATTTATTTAATATAAGTTAAAATTTCATACAGAAGGGGTTTGGTGTGTATTGTCTCGTAAAGTTTTCTTCTAAAAACTGTTTGTATAAGTGAAACTCCAAACATGATGTACTTGATTAATTGTAGTTTTGATGCTTAGTCCAAAATGTAGCGCCATAAATTTTCCAACTATAAAATAGTGTTACAGAACGATCACTTAGCTAAATTGACTTCGGTAAACTAAAACGTGAGTCCCTGGAACGGCAAACACAATAAACGCTTAAATGCTTATTTAACTAATTATGCCTTAGGAACGTTCAGGGAATTCGGCCGACATAAATTTTGTTAGTGAAATCATCTGTCACCATTCGGCTTGTTGATTTATAAAAGCAGAATTCTTGGCATTACAACCACAAATAAATTTAAAAAAGGACAACTTTGATGATATGTTAAACAAAGTACTTTTCTATGACAATTATCAAGTATATTGTAGCAAGTACCGCTCTGGATCTCGGAATGATGTCTCATCGCCGGTGAGTCAGCGCTAGAGCGGTCGAGAGCGGTCCGAAACTCGCTGGAATATTCGGGAAGGCACGTAGACACTAAATATATAAGAAACAGCGCAGCATGGAACAGTTAGTTAAGCTTTGGTACTCGCGAAGAAATAAATAAATAAACGTGCAAAAAATAGACTCTTGTACAGTGGTTATATATAAATAATTAGTAGTTAAGTGTTTAGTTAGTTTTATAGTTTCTTAGTGTTCTAAGTGTAATTAAGTTATAAAATAAATAGTTTAGTTCGTTAATAAACCAGTGCGTGTTTTATTCACACTACAAACAGTAAAAACGTTCCAATATGTTGGGCAACACTAGCATGGGCCAAGTGGTCTTTGTACCTTACTTGTCACAATCTTAACACTTTACAAACTTTTAGGCAACCCCAAAGATAAAATTCCTAAAATTGAAAAGGGGATATGCGAAATAAACTATCAAGATTGTGACAAGAAATATGTTAGACAAACTAAATGATCCATACAAGGTTCAAAGACCATTTGGCCCATGCTAGATTTGGTAGGACAGAGAAATCGAGTGTTGCCCAACATATACTTGATGATGGTCATAGAATAGGTTTTGATAACCTTAAACTTATTAAGGAAGTTAGGGAATCAAGTCTGCTCAGATTTTGCATATGCCATATCTCAGTTATTAGACATGGGACCCACACCAAATTTATATGAGTTTATAATGATACTAAATTAACTTGTTCTGCGCAAGCAAAATTTAAATAGAAGTTTGCCAAAAAAAGATTATTGACAAACCTTATTTTATAATTCCACATACCTTGATAGGGAGAATATATATTCAAGTACAGACAGTCCTCGCTTTGATTCTGCAGATACTCCTTTAACCTCAAAAAATACGCCCTTCGTTCGGGGGCCATAATTTTCTCGTCCGGGAACTGCTGCGGACACACCGGACCATACGTATCCGCGTATTTCGTGCCGAACCACGAGGGGGCGCTGCCCGAAGGCATAAACCGCAAATCCCCGACAGGTGCCGCTGCATACGGTATGCCTCTGTATTGTTCCACACTGGGTAGGGCTCTGTTGATTTTGGGCTCCACCACGATGCCCTGCAGGGTACCCTGCTTGAGGGTTATGTTTCTCGTGTATTGTTTTATGTTGTAATCGTCATTGTAATTGTTTTGGTGGCGGGTGTACGGGTAGTAAGATGAAGCACTGTCACATAGTTCGTAGATGGTTAGTAGTAAGGTCACTTGGAGTATGGTGGTCATTTTATTGAAGGCACATTTTCACTGTTTTAGGCAGAACTCTTGTATTTGCGAACTTAACAGTTGAAAAAAAATCTTTAAATGCTAACACACACGGTTCTGGATATACAGGGTTTCATATTCGTGGTCCATTACACTGTGGTGTAAAGAGTAATCTTAAAATGGTGTCAAAATCCAACACCGAGTGGTGTTAATATAAACACCATGAATTATGGTTGAAAATGTTATATACAGCAAACACCAAAACGGTGTTTATCTAAAGATATTTGAGAAGTGCACCTACACAGAAAAAAAGGAATACCTAGTTAATTTAACTATATTAATTTTGTTGACCCATAAGTATTTATTTAAATCAACTGTGGGAATGTTAATATAAACAAAGATTAGTCTGACGGTACTAAACCAGATAATTATTTTTTTTAATTAGTTAATTTAACCCAGAAAACTTTAGTAAAACTAACCCGCTGTATGGTTCAGTTTAGTAAATATGTTGTTTGTAAAATAAGAGTTACTTCAACCTAAAGCACTCTGTTAAAACGATTAAAACAATTTGCCGTGCATTCCTGGTTGCATAGTGTGTACCGATCGCGGCAAAGGCGGTGTGGATCACGTGATGTTCTTAAATCTCGCCTCTGTTGACTTACATGGAGAGTATATAAGCTCAGGTAGTCCTTTGCTTTGGTGTGACACTACAAGTTGTTCGATACTAAAGAGATCTTAAATAGGTGGAAACAGCTGTCAATACTTGAAGTATTTTAAGTTGGTGGAACGCACTAAAAACATTATCTCTAGCGAGTTGAAGGTTCAATTTTCTGGAATAATACCACTGGTAATATACTAGTAATGCGTCAAGGAACTTCCTGTTTCCTTTTTTTCTGTATAGTATGATTTAATTTGACCAAAAACACATAATATTTAACACTGAAAAGGAGTTCAATTTACACCAGGTAAAATTTATTTTAATACTGTGTGAAAATTATTTTAGTATTTGAATTTACACTGGACCAATGAACCATATTTAACACAATTTTGGTTTGTATCGATATAGACCATGTATGGTGTTAATTTATTGTTAAAATGGTCATAAAATTTTGAACAGTGTAGAAGTTTCTGGAGAACGAAAAAGATTTCGATGTGAAATTTAAAAATCGAGTTATTACATTTTTTTGAAATTTGGCAAATGCCCGTCAATCATAACTAGCCTATAACTTTTTTGTTATTAGGTTTGAGGATATGGCGGTAAATTTTTTTAAAATCTTAAACCATAATTTAAAATATTCCTTGTCAATTCTTTAAATTTTTTCAACAAATTACCTGAGAAAAACCAGGCCAAATTAGGCTAACTTAAAAAGTTAAAAACTTTCTTATTTATAATTTAACACGGGTGTTTATACAAGGTGACCCTAAAATAAGTGGAATCAATATTGGAAAAGATTGAGTAAGTTAAAATAAGACGAAAACTTAAATTAATATTTTTCCTAATCACTTATGTGTCCCAGGGTGATAAATGTTACTTATAATATCAGTTTTTCTTTAATATAACTTCTACTATGGTAGACTTGGAAAGGTGATATTTTTGTTTGAGTGAACACATCGTAGAAGGGGTATGCTTTAAGCTTATTATCCCATACAAACTTTAAGGTTAGGTTTTAATAATATTTGATGCAATTTTTTGATTACTCAGTTCGGCTTCTATTATTTTATAATTATAGTTATATTTTAGAAATTGTTAAGTATCTCTAAAACTATTAACCAAGGTATAGAGAATGTATATAAACTTTGTATATACCGGGTGTCACATTTAAAATAAAAAAGTTATTAACCTTTTAAGTTGGTCCTGGGTTTTCTCTAGTAATTTGTTGAAAAAAGGTGTAAAAATTGACATAAAATATTTTAAACAATGTTTTAAGATTCCAAAAATTCCACGCCATATCCCCAAACCCAATAACAAAAAATTAAAGGCTATTTATGATTGACGCGCATTTGTCAAATTTTAACGAAGAAAATTTAATAACTCGAAAACTATTCACTTTAGGTAAGGACATGGTAATTTTATAAAATTGATATGAGTATACTCAGAATTTTATACAAAATTTAAAAATATAAAAATATATGGGGTGGTTTATTTCCCCCTTCTAATAGACCACATCCTGTATATGTCATGCAAAAAGATTCAGATTTTACTGTTAACCTAAGCCAGAAGTCAAGTTAAGCTAGATATTGAACACCCGATTGAATTAATATCGGCAGTATTTTAATTAAAAATAAAACTTTAAAATAATTGTAACTAAAAATAACACTTGGAACTAATTAAGGTAATTATCACATTCTTCCTTCATTCACCAAACATTTTCACATAATTTTATTATCGAACCGAACGGAACGGAAAAACAAACTTTTAAAAGTGAATTTAATCGAGTTAAAAGGCTTTTAACGGCGAACGAGCGGCTGAAAACTGAATTTCAGTTTTGTAAAACCTGAAACAAAGTTTTCAGTGTGGGTACCTGAACTAATCTCGCACACCAAGTAGTCCGCTATTTTTGGAACAAATCGGTTTGTAAATATTCGGGACGTGCGTCTTGGATCGGTGAGGCTATATATAGCTGCTAAATAGTCAGCTATAAATAAGATTGTACTATGTTATTTACCCCTAGCACGTAGGAAATGCGATGTATTCACTTCGGGAATCGCAATACTTCTAACAATAGATAGTTGTGTACACCACCTTGTAGTAAATAAGTTGGTAGGTGTCAATTTTCACAAAAAATATTTTTTGTAAATTTTGATAATTCTGAAATTTTAATACAACAAAATTATAATTGGGAAAATGGTGTAAAAATTTAATTTAAGATAAAAATTAATTAAAGAATAAAGTTTTTCTCAAATATCTCGAAAATAAACCAACCGACTTGAAAAAATAATAAACCAAAATTTACCGAAAATATAAAAATATTCTGGACACACTTCTGCTAAAATTTAATACTCTTTGCGTAGGTCGTTATTTTTTGACAATTTTTTTTTACAGTTTCTTTAAGGAAATCGATGAGAACCGTATTTTTTCTTTTTGCTCAAATTTGTTTTGTTCACCCGTAGGAAATTGTTGAAAAATGGACAGAACATCGATTTTTCTTGAAAATGAAATAACTACTTACATATAAAAAAACATAAAAAATTACCTAAGTGAATTCACTAAATTAAATGTTTTTTCTAAAAAGGCAAAAAAAATTAGGTTAAAATGTTGATATTACCACATTTTTTTACTTCATATTTTTTTCTTTTGAAGTCTAACTGGGTTGACCTATATAAAGTGTAATTTAGAACTTTTTCACATATTTAAAATATTTTTGTCAGTTATGGTTTTACTGTAAATGCTTAAGTAAGTAAATTAAATTATTAAAGATTTTAGAGTAAAATGTAAATTTCTAATATTTTTGAATGTGTTGCTTTTAAAAGATGTAAAAAGTATACGTAAGTTAATTTTGGTAAGAATAATAAAACTTAAGTACATATTACATACCTAAAAAAATAAATCAAATGACGCGATTTCGAAGAAATAATTCCGAAAAATGTTGGTTGGTTAACAGATCTGTTTTCTGCAGATATGAGTGAGGCAGTAGCGAAACTCTTTTTGACTGAGGCTCTATCAGGAAGGAAAATAAGTATTAAGCCTAAGAGGTCCAGAAACTAATGTGCAGATTAATTATGTTCAGAAATAAAACAATTTCATTTGATATTATATTTCGTTTTTTTATTTATTGCCAAAGATTTCATATATAACTTTTTATAATCGTTTCAATATATTTGAATGATATTACTTATTTAGTATTTTTAAAACCAAAAAATGTTGAGCAAATACTTATTTTTATTATATTTTATAAACAGTTTTAGCGTTTGTTTTCATAGTAAAATAAAATGTTAATATTCACTTACCAACAAAACAAACTAACGAAGTGTCAAATCTTATACTTCTGTTAAATACAAAGTTTTAAAGCCTTTTAATTTATTTTCTTCTGTACTCACTTTTAAACCTAATAAACATTCAAATTTAATTAAGGGTTTGAAAGCGATATTATAAAAAAATGCATTAATATTTGGTATCAAATTAAAAAAAGTGTATTTCTTTTATGACCAACGAACCACCCTCTTTTATTAAAAAAATAGTTTTTGCATAAAGTATGGTTTTTCATTTTTTGAAAGCTCCTATAAACCAGCATTGGAAAAAAAGCATAATATTGTATTTTTTCCAGACTACTTGGCCCAACAGCCAGAAAAGCCAATTCAAAGCATTTTAGATATAAAAATAAAATTTAATTAAAAAATGATTTGACCTGTCAAAAATTGACAAATGACATATGTATGTATTCAGAATTTTATTTTGAATCGAAATGCATATTCACTAAAAAATAAAAAGTAGAGACCATTTCCAGTTAAACCATTTTGACCACCATTTTTTGCCCTTTTTTTTTTATAAAAATTTGACTGAATTCACTTAATTTTTTATATTTTTTGTATGATTAAACATTGTAAAATTACAATTATATTTTAACGATCGAAACATTTATGTCCATTTTTCAAAAATTTCTCACGGGTGAACAAAACAAATTTAAGCAAAAAGAAAAAATACGGGTCTTATCGATTTCGGCAGAGAAACTGTAAACAAAATTTTGTTAAAAAATAACGACTCCTTTTTGCCTGGTCAATTTAAGATGGAAGGCCGTTTATGAATTTAATAAAAAAAACTGATGTGTTGACGCATTAATTAAGTTATTAAGTTCAAAACATACCAGCATTCTTTCATCTATAAAATTATTAAATTCTTGTGCAATTATTTGTATATACAAAGTGTATACATAACACTCTAAACAAATTAAAATACTTGCAAAACAAATATGTTCCGTAAAATATTTAATCTCGTAAATTTAATTTTATGACAGGCTCCTTATTTTAATTAAAAATATAGTTATTGTTAAAGTAAAGAAAACTAATTTTAGCATTTACATTCGCATTTAGTAGAAATAATATTTAATTTCCAGTAACATAATAAATCACGTTTACTGAAATTTGTTTTTTCGCGGTTTAATTGTATGTTTAATTCGAGTTTTATAAAATAAATACAAAATTTAAATTTATTTTTAATGAACATGTTGTTTCGCCATTAAATCATGCAAAATCTATCAAAGTTTTATGTTTTATAGACTTGTTAATGTTCGCTATTATTTTATTTAAAAATTAAAGTGTTATTCTATTAAATTTCAAATTTGTTTTATTTTTTATTTTTATCTAAAAAATTATTTATTCGAAACGCAAAAAAGCGGCACAATATAAATAACCCCGGTCAAAAATCAATCCTCCGAGGTTTCGAAGAAACAAAATGCGTGTTCGGTTATTGATGACGTCACATTCGTCTGCCGCCTGAATTCAGAGCGACACCTGAATGTCCAGCACCAAGATTCGTTCGATATAGCCACTGAATATACTGGAGAACACGAAAAAAGGCGGATTTAATTATTGTTTTCGCCCATTTCTGATGCTCTTAATTTGAAAACACTATTAAGTTAGTAAGTTCATCTTTTGCTTTATATATACAGGGTGATTGTAAATGTATAACAAAATATTAAAATAAAGTGATTTTAAACTTAAAATAACTTGTCAACTTAAGCTACACATAAGTTAAGACTTTGTTTACTGTAAACCTGTATAATTTTGTTTAATAAACTTTATTATTATTATTAAGCCCTTTTTCGTGTTACTCTGAATATATTCAACAGTGGCGCGGTCTCCTTTTTACCTCTTTTTGCCTAGCAATTTGCTCTTTTACTTCGCTTGATCAAATTCCGAATTCATTTCCCTCACCCTTTCCTTTCCCTTCTTGCAGATAACCTTTTTCCGACGATATCATCAATCTTTCCTCTCTTACACTACTTTTTTGCTCGAAGATATAACAACTTTTAGTTGGCGGTCACAAGTAAAAAGCATAAAATATTATTTTATTCAAAAGTTGTTTAAACTTTTTTAAATATAATATAATAAAATTTTGTTTAAGGAAAATTGCAAATGCCTATTTAGGAATATTCAACTTTCGTAAAAAATAATTATTACTATTAATTTAACATTAAATTTTTTTATAAATGTTATGAAATATACCAATTATCTTCTATTGAAGACAAACGTTTTATTACTTATTTTTGTATTTGGCTAGGGACTGGGGAATATAATGTGGAACTGGTCCAAGCAGGGGAAAAGTGTTCGGGACCTTTATTTTCTACAAGTGGCACTCAAGAGATGTCGAAAGGAGTACGTGTGGCCGAAGATTATGTTTAAGTCAAGTGGATTATATTTTGATATCACGACGTTCCTAAGAAGGCCAATGCTTTTATCCCTTTTTCTCTCTGCTTTACTAAGTTATACCCGACATTTATTGACCCAAATTACACAATCATTTCTTTGTTTTTACATTAGTTATAAGGCAGCTCTTCATTGCAAAAGACTTTGTTAATATTACGAAAAAATCAATATAAGATTTCTTGCAGGATTAAAAAAATAATTGGTTTCAAGAATTAGTTGGGATACAGGGTGTTTAAATCTCTGATTTTACCTTATATCTAAAATATTATAACTTTTTTAAATTTTTGTGTTCGTAAATATATATTTAAAAATTGTAGGTTTCTATGTTTCTAATTTAACAATTTTAGAACAAATTTTGCTGCCAAGCGTTTCATACCCAAAACATGGGATTAGCCAATTGATATACCAACATCATTAGCGACTTCTCTGATGGTTTATAACCATTTCTTTCACTTTTTCCATGTTTTTATAGGTTGTTAATGTGCTTGTGTGTTCGGGGCGTTCGTCATCTTCAACGTCTTCACGGCCATCTTGGAAACTCTTATACCACTTGTAAACTCTTGTTTTACTTATAGCAGACTCACTATAGGCCTTTGTTAACATTTCACAGAATTTATTTAATTTTTTAAGCAAAATTGGATATAAATTCTTTGATACATTTCTTTTAACGAACGAAAAATCGCCGAGCTCATAAAGAAAATTTTATGACAACCGGACCCTCCGAACCCGCGAAATTTAACAATTCCCGTTATTTTCTGAACACACCTCGTATAGTTTATAATAAATAAATATCTGCATATTGAAGGAGGAACTGTTCTTTCGAACAAAGTAAGTGGAAACAGGGTGAAACAGGGGAAACAAAATAAGGCAGACAGGTCGAAACTCAATATAGCATAAGCTGTCATTATAAACAGCATTTTATTAGTTTCGAACTTCGCTAGACGGGCTTTGCTTTCTTCCTCTTATTTGCCAAATCTTTATGCAATTTGTATCGTTTATGTCACGGGCATTAAGTGCTCGCGATTTGCAAATTGAAATTTTAATTCGACCGGAACGATGATAAATTACTAAAAACAAGTTTAATTTGATAAAAAACGTCACG